CAAGACAGAGTTTTCTTTGTCGTGTCTGCATTCCTCACGATCGCATGCTTTAATACGCCTACAGGCAAGATAGAAGATCACACATGCTCATTCCTTCTGGCCTCGGGAGCAGTCCGTTCCCTACTAAACCCACAAGCTTCCCTCATGGTTTGCAACAAGGTTAATATTACTCCACCGGCTACCATACCGCCAGTCCAGCGCGACCATGGAATTCGATACAGGCATGATCACAACCCATCAAAGCTCCAAATAGAAGCGGATATTGCTACACGGTCTCTAACAGTGCATCATAACAAGATTAGGCCATATACGGGTGCTCCCCCAGTAGGTTATGATAACGAAGTCTATAAGTTGGCAGAAAAATGGAAGCCGCCTGAATGAACTCTACTGATCAGTACAGATGGCAGTGCTTGAGAGAGAAGGGAGGCTGTGTAATATATACTAGATTATTTCAGTTGACCTTTATAGGAGAGAAGCGGGAACCGAATTGGAACACGAATCACGTGAGCGAGGACCGTGAGGAGTCTCTCCCCGGTTGATATCTTCTATTCGGTCCATCTGTACTCTAATTCCCATTCTTCCTATATCTAATGCCTAATAAATCTCCTGCAACTAACCCTCTCGTGAAGTTCGTGGGTCAAGAGCATGAGGTCAGGTAGGCAGTTCCTATAAGATATATGGATTTCAACATGATATTAATGAGTTAGCGTAACTGCATTGTACTGAGACTACTGCACAGGTGGTAAAATTTAATACTTATGCCTAATGCGTATGTTTCGCCACAGAAAAGGTCGGCCTTTCGGCACATCCTGGAAGCCAAACTATACCACACCACACCATACCAGCGCATTATTAGCTGATCAATAGTGTGGCAAGAAGGCATTAAGCGGAACTGAAAACATATATTATGAGGGGTGAAAAGAGACTAAACTTGAGCTTGGGTAGCCCACGTGCACAAGGGTAAGATGAGTACCAAAGTAACCGTCAGACATCAGGCGGTCACGTAAACAAAGAGGTACATATAAGTCGACTTAACAGTCTCAAGAGTACAATATCTACTCTGCCTTCAAGGTGGTCCTACTAAAACACAACTTTTGAGTTTGGTCAGCATGGAGAAATTTATTTCCTTTAGTAAGAGCTGCCTGTCTACTCTCTGGTCCCTGAGCCTCAAACTTCATGAGACTGTTGGCTGCGGATGATTTATTGGGCATTTGTTATTAGTAAGGTTGGGGAATGCGATACATATGAGGTGAGTAGGAGGTACCAATCGGAGGGAGACTCCTCGTCGGCTTCACGCACGCGATACGCGTTCCCAATTGGTTCCTAATAAATATTAACTACATCTATTCGGTCCAGCATTCAGTGTGCATTCAGTTTGAGATCTCAGGACATTACTTTAATTCTTTGTTTATATGACCACTTGGTGCCTGAAAGTAACTTTGATACTAGGTTTTGAGCTCATCCTAGAACCAAGTCAAAATTCATTATCCTCTTACCCATCTCAAGCCAATCTCTATGTTATATATATGGTGGGAAGTCGGAGCGCTACAGCTCTAGTTCGAATCTCTGTTCGATTTTTGTGACATATCGTCATTTTAAAGCTAATGTTTAGCTTTTCCATAAGTTACTATTACTAAAACTAAATCACTTCTGACGAAACATACCAATAATCGGCAGTTAGAGAATTAGACGTTTATGTACACTAAGATGGTCACTCTAGCATCTAGGCGCTTCCCACCAGGTAGAAGAAGGCATTAAAATGGGCTGAAAACATGTATACTGAAGAGGAAGCTGACGTTTAACATGAAATTGGTCTGAAGGCTAGCCGACGCATGCAATGGCCAGAAGAATCTTAAACTAATCACCAGACAGCATAACCAGAGCATTACAGTTACAATGCACTATTAAAAAGATATTAAAATTCGCGTCCCATCCATCTGTGCACACTGTCGACAAAAGATCCATGTATCCGAATTCTGATTAAACCTTGATAACAAAGTGTATATTTTCTTTAATATCGCTATTTAGCACACCTTCCGGTAGGGCTCCTCTGTATTTGCCTTCCCTGGCCCATGTGATCACTTCTCTGGAGGAGTTTGGTTAACTCTTATTGCAAACATGATCATTCGAATACAGTCCGAGCTTGGCACCAAGCGTGTTGAAGTTTCAGAATCGGACCATGTGGCGAAATTGTTCGAGCTAACTTCAAAAGCCTTCAATCTGGATCCAAGTTCTGAATGGCAACTGTCAAAATCCCGGAAAGCTAGTGATGCTTTAAGGCGCAATTCGCGGATTATGATCAAAACTGCCAAATTTCAGTAATTTTGTTCAGATATCCTTTTACTAAATTAAAGATTTAAAATAATGTCCTTTCCTCGGATCGCCATGGCATTGTTGCCTTTTGGGAAATTAGTCTGGCTTTATGTTTTTGTTTAGTCTAACTTTTTACGTCTCCGAAACCTGTTTTTCCATTCGCCTGCTTATGCCGTTTTGCATCCTTTTAGAAATGGGGACATACTCTACGTCATAAGCAAGCCAAAACTCTCTAGTTCTCGAGCTCCTACGCAAGTAACTACCACTACATTGTGCTGTTCTCTTTTGCAATTTACTCATAGCTATTTTGGTTCCTACATTTTGCTACTTTTTAAAAGGATGCCGATATCAAGGAAGCTTCTTTGGGCCCCTTGAAAGAGGATGACGTCGACAAAATTATTGACGCAATGGATGGCAAAATTAAACGTCCCAAAGGCCACTTGTTCGTTTAACTTCGGAGCATTTTATCTGATTATTTATCCTGGAATGTGAAATGTTTCCCTCTTACATTTTAGATGCCATCATCCAGATTCTGGTGTCTGCATTCATTGCGTTCCCCTAGAGGTATAATCTGTGTTCGTTTACTTGCGATGGTTTATGATTGTTATTTTAATTCGGAATAGTGATTCTTTTCTTTGCCATCCAGCCGTCAGATCCAAACTACTTGAGTCTTTGTGATCCGCCGGTGAAATTCATGTCATTCCATGCCTATCTGCGCAAACTGAGAGGTGGTCAAAACAAGTGAGTTACGACTGTTTCCCATGAGTGTCTTTTGAATGACTATGGAAGCTGTCTCGAAACCTCAATCCAGCAAGTCGAACTGAGGTCTATGATGGGAAAAATTTAAACTGTGTATGCACTATCGACAGTTGAGAAGGTGGGTAGAGCACGCTGAATCGACATTCGGAGAACGTGGAGACTACTTTACGCTGAATTGGTAGATATTCATTCTTACCCATCTCCTGACTCCGATTCAATAAAACAAATCGGTCATCTTTTAGCTATCTGGTCAAATGTCCTCTCGTTGTCTGTATCAAGTTCCTGTTCATCGTGGTTGACGAGATTCCATTAAAGTGAAATAGTATGGAAGCAACTTCGATGTAAACGTCCTGGAGGGCTGGAGAGTGAGACTTTTTTGGATAATTCTATAGTATTACTGATTTAGGTAACGACTTGCTTTCCCAGTAAGACGACTTTTTTGGAGTGCAATCCTCATTTATGATCTCCAGAAATGTATGCAGGAGAGGGACTTACTTCTCCACCTTGCCCATATTATTAGCGTAGTAAAAGTGTAGGGGCTGTAGATGAGGACATCTACGGCTAGTCTTTGCTTCAGTTTATAGCTAAGACACCATCTACAGGGCTACGGTTTGTCGCTAATCAACTTCTTTGGTCTAGTAGCCGGTACTTTCTGTTATCTATGTGCTTAAAGAGGTTGGTGCCGGTGGAGTCGAAGTCAACGGACCTCACTCCCATGTTTACGCTAGTGTCTTTTAAGAAGGAGAAGTTTCCGGGAGTCGAAGGTAATTGCTGCGTTTATTGTCTATTGATTGGTAGCATTGGTTAAAGCCGCAATTTTATTGGCTTTGCCTAGGTTGCTCTGTCCATGCAGTCACTTTGGTCTAGGGAGAAAGCGAGTGTCGATAACTAATAACTTTCTCCATTCTCGTTTATGGCTTGCCTTACCCGTTACCAAACGTGTACGTTGGCTTGCTATGGTCAGGCCTGTACATGTGTGAGCGCGAACTCTATCGAAATGTCAACTAGAGTAAGCAAGAAGTAGAGACTTCACTACGAAGTCTTAACTCTGCTATTGTAAATGCATTAAAAGTAAGATGTGCATGGCCATCATTAACATACATTTTTAGCTTTCGTATGACCTTGAATTTACAGTGAATGTCAGTAGGCGTGAGATATCTTTACACAATATTGGGGAAACTCAACGAAAACAGCCCAAAGAATGCTTTAGAATGTCAAATAGTTCATGTTAAAGTAGAAATTTTTAAAACATAGAAATACGTCTTATTTTTTGGAAGCTTAGCCAATTCTAGCATAGCTTAGAATGTGTAGCTGGAGTGTCATAGTCACTTATCTTTGTCCTTTCTTTACTCGCAGGGGAAAGCTCGTACGACTGGAGAACACACGTTGTAGCTTGCGCGGTGGGTGCACCTCCCATCCGCCATGGCCTGCGGGAATTTGTACACAATGCCAACCGAATCCGGTGACGCTGGAAGTGCAGCCCTACCGACACGTAGACTACGTGCAGTTCGAGAACGGTGAGGTAGTGGAGACCTTTCTTGACTTCTGGCGCCTAACGGGTAGACAGCGCATAGGACTTCTTCTCGGAGAATACGCACCATTTGACACCGCGGGCGCGCCTCCGCTCGCCATCAAGGCGGTGGTTGCGGCTATCTACGAACCACCACAGGTGTGTCTGCTTCTCTGTATGCTGGGTTCACATTCACTTTTCCTCCTGTTTTCTCCTCCTCTCCGACTTTCCGTTCTTTCTCTTGTTTATTCATTATGCTCCATCCATCCGTCCATCTTTTCATTCATTTAACCACTTCAAACATTAATTCTTGCTGCTTTTCTAATAAGGGTTCTAGCCTCTTCAGATTACTTTTATTGTTGCTTTATTAAGGTTTTATTTTCTATCTTTTGAATTACTTAAGTCTTGTAAATGAGAGATTTTTCCCAAAAAATTGCAATTTATGTCATTTTCGTCGCCCTCTTGCTTATTAGGTGGCTACAAATCGTTCAGTGAAGCTCACATGTCCGTTGGACCAGCTCATGCCGCCCTCTGCGGTAGTGACGGCAGAGGCGTTGGGTTTGAAGCCTGTCGGTTGGATTTTTACCGACTTAACTGCTGATGGTGCAGACGGTTCAGTCAAACACTATCGTGGTGACATGGTATGTCGCATTGGTGGAGGTTCATTGATACTCCTTTGTTGGTAAGATGCAAAAGCGGTTAAGACATGGGCTAATAATTCTCCCGACATTTGCTATTGGATCCTACTTCTTGTACTGTCAATAAACTATATTTACTGATTTATTATGAGTAGGCGTTGTTTCGTCTTCGAAGGACACATTCTTTATGAGCGCGGAGGAGTGCATTACTGCAGCTCGGCTACAGAACCTTCATCCTAATCCTTCACGAGACAGTCCGGATGGCCACTTTGGATCGAAATTCGTCACTGTTGTGGTGACTGGCGGCAAGGATAATGAGATCCACTTTGAGGCCTATCAAGTTTCCAATGTGGCTATGGCCCTAGAGTCAGCGGGGATTCTTGTACCTACGTTTGATGCTCCTGAATTGGGGTATATTCGCGAATCTACCAAGGATCGTTATGTGCCTGATGTCTTTTATGCGGTGAGGGACCGGTAGTTTTACATGCATATTCATCCAGTTATTCATTATTTCCTTTTTTTCGGTTGGATTTTAAAAAAGGTGAATGGTTGAGAGATCATTGCTGCAGGTTTTTGTGGCCATGAATCGATCAGACTTTTCTTTCACATCTGCTTTCTCAGCTTTGGGATCAGTATGTTTTCGAAATTACTTTTGTAGTTATGACTTGTTCCAAAAAGTGCCTAATGAACAGGGTGGTTGAAATGTAGAGGGCGAAATGAGCTCAGTGTATAAAATACATGCTATTCACTCATTTAGGTGTGCTGCATTTTCCAACATATAAAAGTATTTCGCATTTTAACTCCATTTACTGCTGTTGGTAATGAATTTCCTCGTACATTTTTGATCCCAAAATCATAGATCTGGTGCCTAATGAAGTTGTGGAGTCGTATAACTCCTATCTGGGGTAAATTGGTCACATTGGTGCAAAATTAGAGCTCGAGGTCAACTTACTTTGTTAACTCATATTATCAAACTTTGGAATAGGTCTCTACAGTTCTTCACTTTTCAGCCTTGCCATTGCTGACAAAAATTCCCCTTCTAGACGAAAGACAAGTATGGCAACACTGTAACAAAGATTGGACGTCCTCTACCAGTGGAGTATCTGTTGGTGGATATGCCTGCCGCCTTTCCCGTAGAGCAGACCTTCACTTTCGCCGAGCAATCCACTTACCATATTGCACCCCACGACAAGTTTCCTGTGGAGAATCGGGAGGAGCTCGGGCAAAAACAGGTGCTTTCCACGTCGGTCAAATATGAAATTCGTCAGTTTCTTCCAGGCTTACTTGGGACTGGGTGTTTAACCCCATGAATTGTGGGGGGAAGTTTATGTCTACGTTTGCCGTGTCAGTCGATCACTTGTGATAACAAACTCTCTTTAGTTTAGCTGGATAGGCTGGCAAAATCCTCACTGAAGACTTACACATTTGGATCCCGCAACCATTTTACAGCACTTTGAAACATTCGTATTAATTGTTTCTGATCGCATCTTCACTCACTTTCCTAGTTTAGTGTACGAACGTTCGGGATGCATACGACGACCTATTATCTTGTTTTCCTATGCATGAAAACTTTGTTACAGTCACATTTGAGGCGTTTTACCCATTCCTTCCTTCATTGCAGAGCGTGGAGGCCTTTGCGCGACAATTCGTAGCTTACGGACGGAACCGGTTGTATGGGTGCCTGAACAACTTCCATGTCTTGGCGTGGTTGGCAGAGCAGGTAGATAGACTGCCGTTGGACCAGTCAAGTTTCGACAGTCTGTTAGCCACTCTGCGTGCCTCCAAGTCTGTCACCGAGTGGGCTGACAGCTGCCCTGCCTGGGGAAGCCTCGAGCTCATTCTCAAGACCCTTGGTGGCAGTAAGCCTGTTTTTGTTCTAAAAACGCCGCCCTTTAATGCTCCATTCCCAGCGTGTTTGAGGACTTGGTTAAGCTACCACTAAGCTACTATGCTAGTTCCCAATCCCCAAAAGGATGCCTACCCAAAAATGGAAGTTGTGGCTAGCACCACTTATGTCTGATGCAAAGGCTATGAAGAGGCCTCCACTCTGTTCTTCTCCTTTGTAGGTACGACTACACCTTCTTCACCAATGGACACGAGCAATACCGGTGGGAATGGGCCGCACAGAGGTGCACAAACGTCAACAGCAAGCTTTAGAGATGTTGTGGCCGGTACTGCATTCACTTCTTCCTCTGCTACTGCTACTAGCTCCACTTCCGACGCGGAAGGAGAGAGCAGTGACGGATTTTGGGCCTGTCAACACTGCACCTTTCACAACGGACTGGATCGCAACGAGTGCGAGATATGCAGTCTGCCACGGCACTCCTCGTGAATTACTCCCTCTTACCACCTCCGACTTCTCACTTGGGTGGCTAAAAACACCTTTGAGCTCATCTTCCTCGCCTACTCCATTTATTATCATACCTTTCTCCGTATTCTCCAGCCTATTGTTTTTGTGCGTTCCCAGACGCTGGGTGAATAAAAGCACAGTGTCGCTCACCTTGACATAAATTGCGTGCCCTCGATCAACGCAACTCCTCATCGTCAATCGCAAAAACCACGTCCTAGCTTGCCCACACCCCGGAGCGCACTGTCTAAAAGGGGCTTCTTCTCGAAGGAAGGGTTCGCGGTGGAATTTTGCTCGTCAAGCCCGACAGATCCCCCATTTTCCCAAAATAATTCCCTCATGCTATTGAGCTCGGCCCGCAGGACACCCACTCATAGCCCACCATAAACTACCCCAGGCCCAAATACTGCGCATAATTTGGGATTAAATTCGAATGGTGATCTACTTTCAAATCATTCGCGTAAACCAAATCGAGAATTTGCTACCTCTACCATGTATAAACACCCGACCATTGTTATTTACAAAAGATAAGGCAGAGAGGAGTCTTGTTACCAATTCGTCATCGACTCTGCAGTTCCACTGGAATGTGTCCATCGTCCCCAATTCGTAGTGCGGTCACAGTACACTCCGAATGAGGCGTTATTTCTATCAATAGCTCAGTGATACTTCCATGAGGCAGGGAGATTCTAAGCCACGCTTCAGGAGGTAGTTGCAGGGCCCGACATATCCAATATCGGAAGACGTTTGCGTGACCCACAAAAAGAACCACTTCGAAGGGTCGTCGACCCGTGGGGCCACCACGAAACGCCAGCCCGCCAGTCTCGGAGATTGGCTTACGATGAACGTGGTGATGGAAGCTCAAACCGATGCGATTCTGTGCATTAATGCGCTCGGATAGTTCGGAAGGACAGAGGCTTTCAAGATACTTGATCCTCGAGGCTGTAAGTGACAAACTGATAATGATAGCAATCTTATGGTGTTAAAGACGGCATCTTGGTGATTGGACAGAAGACTGTGTCTACTTTGAAGCAGACATCACCCTTTCGGAAAATTAGAGAGGGGCCTATGCCTACATTTCGCGAAAGACAGCATTCAGAATTCTAGTTCTTGCACTTTACAGTGACGCCACTGACTTTCAAATCGACAATTCGCAAGTGCTTATAGTTTTAGCGACCAACAATGATATGAACAGCGGTTAAGCAAACACCTCGAGTCACTGATGCATTTGATTTGCTATATCGCCTACAAGCACCGTTAAAGTCAAACTATGGGGGAGATGTATCACGTTGATAATAGACAAGCAAACTCCCATGCAGCGAATCATATATCAATACTCTTATTCTAAGGACAGTAGCTGAATTGGCCAATACAACATTTAAACCGCAAGTCTTGGATTTCGTTCGACGTCTCAGCAGCATAGGCTAAAATTGACAACGGTTCGTCAAATTCTGTTAGAAATCTAGAGGCCTAGTGATGGAATTTCCATTAGGCACTGAATGCAGGTGAAAAGATGAAGCTTATTCACATAGGCAAGACTCACAATGAATTACACTATTCAGCTCCAAACGGCTACCCAATAAAACCGTATAAACCACCGGCGTCACAACTTACGAGGATTTGGCTCAGGCTCAATCGGGGGTGGTCCTTCAGCCATTAAAGGCGACTCAAGGAGTAAACAACATTTGGAAGACAGTGGTGAGCATCGGATCACGATTTCTTGGTCCGCCAAAGCCGAAGACTTGTCCATAACCTTTAGAATCCCCGTCTCTGCCAAATGAACATGATCGAGTTCAGAGAGTATACCCGCAGCTGTCTGCTGCGCCCTGATCATATCCGAATGTACAATACAATCAATACTGTGAAAATAGAGGAAAGTAAGGTTGACCATTTGAAGAACTACTGATATCCAAGGTCTCGCAATCGTTTGCCCGTTGCTACGGCCTGTTTCCACCCTACCTCCGTGAGTACCTTCTGTTCAGGTGTAGCACCTTTGGTATCGTATTGACCATGTCTGACAAAAATTATAAGTTTCAGACGACGGTACTGCGTCGGAGGGGGCGTAGAGACGGCTTAGGTAAGAAAAAGGATAAGATCAAGGTGGTACCTTCATCAAGATCCCAGTTATGATTCCATGTACCTCGTTTCTCACATGCGGGAACTTTTACGAATTTATCATTTAGATCCCCATTGTGACGATTCCAAGGGAAAATGAGCAATGAAGAGGTAGAAGCACCAAAAATAAAGGAACTGAAACGCAGCAACCGCGACGACATTATTTGAAATATATTGAAAAAGACGAATAAACAACGTTCCCATGGATGGCCTAAAAAAACATAGCCACTTAAACAACGGAAATTGATACATAAACAACTTCTTTGAAATCATTAACTAACTACGAACGAATAAGCCTCTTTAAGAAGAAAGTTTAACTAATGAGGTAATGGAGTAAAAATGAAGCCAAAACACAGAATTATGAAAAAATTTAATGGTTTAAAAATCGAAGAATTAAAAGGGATCGTCACAGAAGAAATTGAAAGTGAATGTAGCGTCCCAAGACTTTTCATCAGATGTGAAAAGGCAGTGAGTGAAGCTGGATACATGTATTCCAAAGTGTACCGAAATAAATGGGACAGGGCATGGCCCGAAGACCAGATTACGAGTACAAGGGTCAGACAAATTATATAGTGATCGCCAAACATCAGGTAGTCACATAAAAAAGCAGCACACTACCCCTCTTCTTTTGAACTGCATCCTCGGCGCTCCCCTTCCAACACATTCCGCGCCACCCATCACAACATATTCGGTACTACAGGAAAGCGCCCACGAGCCAACCGCACCAGTCGACATATAGCATGAGACTGAAGAACCGTACTTCGTCTCCTCGACAGCTTCAACTGGATCTGCAGTTATGTTCGGTCTGACAACCTGAGTCGGGATCGCATACACCTAGAACATATATGTTTCAGGGAAAGCGGGATGAGCCACTGTCCCCTATGCAAGGAGAACCGTAGTGTCATTTCCGACACATAAACACGCATTTTGTATGAGAAATTGCGACACGAAACATTTCCAGATAGTTCACGGTGGTGTCGCTTCAGTTGTTAATAGCTTGTCTGTGGAACACGGGA